AAGAGTTTACCTCAAAAAGTGCGCTGGCGGCAAAGTTAGAGCGTTTTAAAGTGCAAAAAAAATGCGATTCATCCTTGACATAGTCACATTTAGGAACTTGTATTTTTCTTCATTCGCAACAGAATTTCCTGGTTTTTACTTTTTCGAAAGTGTTTTCTCCTGCAGATTCAGGAGAATGGCGAAACGCATATATTAGCATATTTTATTTTAGGAAAAAATGAAAACGAAAATTGAAAACGGTTTTTCTCAAAAAAGGACATTTTAAATTTTTTAAAGAAGTTATATTTTTCAAAGACATATTTTCTGCACAGTATACGAAAATTATAAGGTGGTATCTTTCCGGCATCAAGAGTTATTTTACGATAGGTGATAGTAGACTGGGAAAAACCCCTAGTTTAAGCAGCATTTTGGCGCTTTCGCAAGCCTCAAACCCTCTGTTTCCACTGAAATTTGTTTTTGTAGTATATTTAGTTCTTGTAAAACTTTTCAACTCTACTACTTTAGTAACGGAAAAGTAGTTAAAATTTATTTACTTCTAAGCAATTTCACAAAATTTTTTAAGAAAAATTTACTGTCATGATTACTTTCGATTTGTATTGCTCTGGTGACTTACTGAACTCTTCTAACCCATATACATTACACTCAGTACTGTTTTTTTGACTGCGAGTACTATTTTGCTACTTTTGTTCTTAGGGTTTTGTTATATAATGCAGTGAAATTTTTTATACGTTTGACTGGTGATTGCGCTCGAAAACACGGCGCTGGAAGTGCTCATTACTTTTCATGTTCTTGTGAAAGTAATGAAATCATTGCGAGTACTGTTCTTCTTCTGTTGTTGCAACAGTATATACATAACCCATCTTAATGTAATTTTCAACCACAAGTTGTGAAATACTTCTAGAAGCGGACTGTAATTTTTAAAGGTGTTATTTTTTAGAATCTAAAGAAACAAAAGAAACAATAACTTGTTTATTATTTCCTTATAGACACAGGTTTTTTTTTTGATTTTTCTAAAAGTTTAACTCTTTAGAGTTTTTAATTTATTGACCATTTAAGGATGGCAAGCACAAATTGGGTACCATTGAGTCTGTGTATCATTCTGACAAGAGCTTATTGGAAATGGCTGCAGAGGAAAGAAAGACTACTGCTGAGGATCAGCTAGCTATGTTTAGCAGAGCAGCTAAAGTAAGTTTTTATTAAATTATTGCCATAGTTTTCCTTGATAACTTTATTTACACTGATTGCTACTACTAGTTACTTTACTTTAAAGTCACCAGTGTTTGTTTGAGACTGGAAAGTCGTGAACATTTTCTGTTTTTAATGATTTCATGTATATGCCTCCTAACTTTCAACTTTGAATAGCTTTTCAGTCTGGTGACAGAAAAACTGACGAGGATTGGGTTGTTGACGACGTTCTTTTGAGTCATAAAAGAAGGAGGAAGCACGAGGAGAAAGATGAAAGGAAGAAAAATTTGAAGATCATTCAAGGTCAGTTTGTTTTTACAGTAAAAAAAGCAGTGCAGATATTGATCTCGTAAAACTTTTTTTAATTTTCTTATTTATTGTTTATGACTTTAAGAAATAAAATGCTCCTGAACTAGTTCGTTCTTTAAGCATTTATAGTTGCAACTTTAAAATTTTTAGGGTCACTGACACACTTAAATTAGTAGTTTTCTTCCCATGTTTTTCGTTTAATCATTTCCATTTAATTCCGCAAAACATTTGTTAAACTATATCACATGGTCAGGCTTATACATAAAATTTTAAACTCTTTATAACTATGTTAAATCGGCAGTATGAGCATTTACTTGTTGCACAATAATACAGGCAGTTTCAAAACATCACTTTTAAGTTCTATATAAAATTTAAATTTTCTTTAAGTCTATGCCCCATTTGAAAAGTTTTTGAAGTGTTGGATGCTAATTTACCCATGACATCAATTTTAAAGATTTTTTGAGGCAACGTCATCTTTAATCTGAGTTTACTTCGATGTTTTTAAGGCAGTCTAAATTGGCGATTAACATGCCGTTTGGTTATGGGGGTCTAAAAAGTAAATTTTAAAAGCCGGAAATTTTTCTTCAAGGTCTCGCAGTTTTTGTTTCTTTCCTTTATTTTTTTTTATTATAAGGTTGCTGAGCTTCTTTACCTACTGGAGGAGTTTATGCTTTATATTCATTTGTATTTTTATGATACTTTTTTTCGCAGTATTTTATTTTACAGAATAATACCTTTTCACATTCACAATAAATTTTTTAGTTAGCCTTTACGACAATATGCAAAGGCGAGTTGACTTATAAATCATACATTATATTTACAACACTTTTATAATGTACAAAGCAGACTGTATAATTACAAAAAACTTCAAAAGATTTATATTTAAAGCACTTTTCTTGCATCATTATAGATCGTTTCTTAGGTCGAATTTCAACTTTGTTCGTCAGCGTCTTTGTCGAAAGTCGGTATTAAATCGGACCAAGTTTTTCAAGCTTTTCTTGCTGAATTTCTTCTTTAATAGTCGTTTGGACTTCTTGATTAGTGAAGCTGAAAATGGCATTGAAAATTAGTGTTTTTTAAGAGTGTTTGAATGCTCAATGTTTGATAAGATACGACCAAAAAGATGTTTTTAACAATTTACATTTAAGGGGTTTTTACAACAATTTTCTCGCTTAACTAGTCGTCTCGGACTGCTTTATAAATTTTTTAAAAATGAATTTTTCAAGGCAATTAATGATTTAGCGTAGTTTAGTTACTAAGGATGTTATCCTAAAATTTTTTCGTAAGATTGAATTGAAATTGATCACTTTCTCACTGTTTTTTAATTCAGAATTATTTATTTTACATACCTCGAAAGAAGATAAAAGTTAATCAAAAAGACTTGATTTTTTTAACGGAATCACCTTTCAGGTAAAAAACACTCACATAGTCAAAAAAAAGACTTTTGCTCTGTTTATAAAAATAGTATTAAGAATTGAATAAAGCTTGTTGGGAATTAAAGTTTTGAAACTTCTAAAGTCTGAAGTTTGTGTTCTTAGCTTCTGTACAACCATTTTTGGTGCATTTTAGGCTGCTGCAGAAGGTTCTGACTTTCACTTCGAGTTTCTATTTTTTATTTCTTTTTTTTTCTTAGGTCTATCAAATTTAATTGTTGTTACTGCTTTGGAACTTATTTTACAATTGCTACTGTTCCTTCCTTTACTTATTACTTAGGGAACCATAGTTACGGAAGTGCCGTATGGCGCGAAGAAAGGAGGCTGTTTTCATTTTCCAACTAGTGAATAGATAAAAATAAGTGGAATTTTTGAAGTTATAAATGCAGTGCAGGATGATATTTTTGCTTAAATCTTTTGATCTTTTGGTTTAATTAAGGTTTTGGGGAAGAAAAGAAATTATGATTATTTTTTTAAAGGAGCTTATTTTTTGTTCTGGATTGTAAAAACTTCATATAGTTACTGAGAAGTAATCTCAGATTCTGAGTGTAATTACTAAAGGGGATATAATTGGCAGAACTGTGACTACTCTGATGACCTAGAGAAGTAAACGGAAAAGTTTTCAACAGCATATATCAGTTTTATAATTGTTTGGTCCTTTTTTTTCGCTTTTGTAGAAAAAAATTGTTTTTGACATGATAATTCAAAGAGCTTGGGAAAGTAGTTAACGAACTTAATGGGTCACTGGAAATAAAATGTTCGGACATAAGCGTTGCAGTTTAAAAAAAAAAAAAAAAACATATTGATCATCATCCAGTCAGTCATTGGTTTTTTCTACAAAAATTACAAAGAAGAGGTTTTGTTGCAAGAGAGCTAGCAATTTACTGGCGAAGAGAATAGTGATTGCTTTTTTAATGCTAATTGTAACTTCTGAGCAACGGAGTTTTTAGAAATTGAGGCGTTTAAAGGTTCTATTTCTTTTCTAGATTTTCTCTCTTTCTTTAGTCTTTCACTGATGCGTCTCTGCCGTTTGTTGTTAAAAAGTCATTGTTTTGGAATTTTATTATTTTTTTCTCAGATAGGATTTTTTAGAGACTAACTTGCAGTTAGCGATTTGTATTTTAAAGAATTTATTACGTTAAATCAATACGAATTACGGGTTCAATTGAAATTTCTGAACATTGGCAGTCTGAAAAATTTTTTAATAAAAGCGTCTGATTATTTTAACATCAACTTAATATATATTATTTTTATGTATAAATAAACAAATGGGTATATACGCGTACATATATGCTCATTTATTTATTTGTTTACTTGTTTATTCACATACATATCACATTATATCATATCGTATATATATATATATATATATATATATATATATATATATAGCCACATGTAAATAAATGTATATTTTCTTGTACTTTCATATACTCTTCTTATTTTTCTACTTTTTTAACTGTCGAACAGGTTTATATCAATTTGGTTTAAAAGAAAGGGAGAGAAAAATTGAAATAGCACTTGTCTATTATGAGAAAATCACATTTTTAAGCGATCAAAAACGGGTTGTTGAGCAATTATTTGATATAATGCAACTTTCTCAGCATGTATTCTATCTGTCTACTTTTTTGCTTCTTCATTAATTGAGCTAGAAAGAGAAAACGAAAGGCAAGGTTTCTTAGCTTCATCAAACTGGGCGTAAATGCTGGCTAGGCAAACTGGGCACTTACGTTTTATGGAGAAAAGAAGAGGAAGAGAAAGGAAGTGGGGCTTAACTTGCTAGGCATATCAACCGTTTCCATCGTAGAGACTTTTTGGTTATCAAAAAAAGAAGAAGAGAATAGGGAAGAGGAGGAAGTAGATGGCAAGAATAGGAAGAATTAGGAAACGGACAAAAGAGGAATTATTTGGATATTTTCAAAAGCTAGAATAGTAAAGCTGAAAACGATTCGATGGTCAATAAAGAAATGCAAGGACGACAAAAAAGTTTCTTATTATTTTTCTTTTTGGCATTTTAATTTTTTGATTAGACAGTTCAACGACGAGCAGTTAAATTTTATTTGTAATGTTACAAAACTTTTCCCACCATAAATTTTTTACCGGACATTGAGACGCTTTTTCTTTTTTGAAGCTTTTAGAAAATAACCAGCTCATGGCTCTTTTTGCATGTTTCTGCTTTTTATTGAGGAAGGTCTTAAATTTTTTCTTATCTTCTTTTTTTCAAGTTTATGATCACAATTTTGTGGCTACTGGTACGTTAGACGGTAGAAGTAGAACGACGAAAGGCAGATGGAGAGAGTGTGAGGAAGGAATGGGATGAAAGGATGGAGAGTTTGTAAAGATAGTTTGAACACTTCATTCATTTCAACTTTGCTTTTCTTCAAAAAAAAAAA